TGCTTTCTTCTATTTATTCTTTAAATTTATTAAGAAGAGAGAGAGGGAGGAGGAAGAGAGAAAAAGAAAGATCCAAATGTGTTCACACCCAAAAGAGTCTAGTCGTCAACTGATCACGTAGAGAGGCGTCAACTGATCACGTAACTCCGAACAAAAATTATGTAAACATTATTTTAAGCACATTTCTCTCGGTTTTTTCTTACAACTTATTTTATTGTTATAATCACTTATTACATAAAGTCTACATATATATTTTTAAATTTTATGATTTAGAATAAATTCTTGCAATATGTTGGTAAGGAAAATCTAAATAAAAAAAAATGCTATTATATAATATTATATAATATATATATATAGTATCTTAAAAAAAATTTACATTAAGTATGTCTCGCGTTCATGCCATGACAATCTTGTATTATATGAGGTGTTGAAAGTATTTGCATTCCGGTTGTTAGGAGAGCTGGTAAACATTGGTGATTTGCAAGAACTCTAGCAATCACGGAATGATAGCTACAATACAACCTGGAAATAACACATAATAGAATGTATTGCAGTGATATTAATATAATATATTTTGTTATATAGCTGCGAAATTTATAACTGATGCATTATATCTATTTGTTATAGTAAAGTAACGGCAACATAATCTCAATGTAATCATGTAACACATATATATAACAGATGTTATGTCAAAGGTAGATAACTATTATATTATATATTAACATTTATAAGATCTATATTGTTGTTATATTCACATTATATAACATAATCATGTTAATACAGTCCTCGGATATCTTAAAATTGTATTGAAGATAGTCTTAAATGCAAGAATCAACTATTGGGTATGGATAGGAAATTCGTGGCGATTTTTTAGTAAAATTAAAGTTTTGTTTTTCTAGTATTGAAATCAATTTATTTAAACCAAATATGCTCCATTATTTTCTATAATATTTTGCCATTTTTGGGGCAGAGCCATAATTCCATCGCGATAGAACTTCTGTGGTTTCTCATCGAAAAACTGCTTCGAGTGATTTTCACAGGCCTCTTTTGAAGCTAGCTTTACACCATTAAGAGAGTTCTATAGAGACCTAAACAAATGATAGTCTGAGGGTGCTATGTCAGGACTATACGGTGGATGCATTAAAACTTCCCAGCCAAGCTCTCGCAATTTTTGTCGAGTCATCAAAGATGTGTGTGGTCGAGCGTTGTCGTGATGGAAGACGACATCTCTCCTATTGATTAATTCTGGCCGCTTCCTCTCAATTGCTTGTTGTAATCTCTGCAGTTGTTCACAGTAGAATTCGGAATTAATTGTTTGATTGGACGATAACAGCTCATAGTGAACGATTCCCTTCCAGTCCCACCACACACACACAATATCATCTTCTTCCTCGTCAATCCAGGTTTTGCGATTGCTTGTGCCTTCTCTTCTTTCTTTATCCACGATCTTTTTCTAGTTGGATTGTCGTAGATGATCCATTTTTCATCACCAATTATCATTCTCTTCACAAATGGCTCAATTTCATTTCCGTTTCAGTAGCGTATCACAAATGTTAATTCGGTCCATCATGTTCCTAACACTTAACTCGTGAGGAACCCAAACATCGAGCTTCTTTTTGTATCCTTCTTTGTGTAAATGATTTAAAACTGTTTTGTGTCGATGCCTAGTTCCTTGGCAATCTCTACAGTGCTCACATGCTTATCACGCTCGACCATTTATCATGATTTCATCGGACTTTTTAGTGATTGGTCGACCGGAGCGAGGTTCATCTTTCACATCGAAATTTCCAGCATGAAAGCGAGTGACCAATCATTTTCGTGCTACTGATTTTGATAGAGTATCTTTACCATAAATAGCGCAAATTTTTTCACAAGCCTGTGCAGCATTCTTGCCTTTATCGTAGTGATACTGCAAAATGTAGCGAATTTTTTCCTTATTTATTTCCATTTTCAAAATAAAATAACTTTTGATCCACTTCACCGATTTCAATCTTTTTCGGCTTAAAGGTTAAAATGTCACTTTTTAAACGCACGTCTAGTGTTGCCGATGCGATTAGTAGTTACCGACTGCTGAGCATTTAATGCCATCTAGCGAGAAAAACGCCACGAACTTTTTTCCACATCCAATATGAATACCGGCCTGTTTCGCGTGAAATTGATACTAAATCTTTCCTCGTTTGACACACTTTATAATGCATCTTAAATTCTCTTTCTATAGAAAGAGAAATATAAAATGTTTTCATAAGGTTATAAGATTTTATAAGGTTCAAGGGCTACAATTGTGAATGTTAAACATGAAACAGTATTCACAATCAGTTTTTATTTTAAAACTGTTTTAAATATAATCTTAGGATGTTAATACAGTCCTGCATTTAAGACTGTTTTAAGTACAGTTTTAAGATCGTCGTAAGTCAATCCGAGGACTGTATTAGCATCTTAAGACATTATTTAAGACGGTTTCAAAATAAGAACTATGAACACCGCCTCATGTTTCGCGTTTCACAATTGGTAACTCTTATTCTCTATTGACGACATGGAACAAAAGAACGTGGTTTGGCCATAGAATTTATAGTAATTGAAGGGGAATATGGATGTCGAGCTGTGAGTAAGACTGAGAGACAGAAGATGTATTTCTGTCCTCTTCTATTTTCTTTTGGCACATGCGCAGAAAGAAGAAAAGTTACTAAGAAAGACAGAAATATACAGCTTCTGTCTCTCAATCTTGCGCACATTTTCCACTCATTTGTTGGATAGGTTATTTCTCTTTCATTATTATTAGTTATATAGCGGAGAGCATAGACTCTTGCATAACGCATAACATATGAGGCATAAGAAATTGAACCAACTAGAATTCTTTATTTAATGGAAAGGAAAGACACGGAGGACTTCGACATTTTCTTATGCATTACATGTTTAAGCCTCGTCTGCAATATAATCGCACAGGTTGTGTCGCATGTCGCGAGTAATAGCATCGCAGGAAAATTTGTCGCATATCGCAAGAGTGTCGCTAAATGAGCGTCAACAATAGTCACAACGATTGTTTGCACGCAATTCGTCAATAAATTCTAAACGTCAACTTGCTGTGCTGTGATTGGCTGAGATCATACAACATGCCTGTGACATTTCATACAACATACGACACAGCTTGTGTGAATATTTGTAGATGAAGCTTTGTAGATGAGGCTTTATGCGTTATGCAAGAAATTATATATCTGTGCTCCCCGCTTATGAGTTTGGCACACGCGATGGTGATAACTTATTGCAAAAATTCCATAAGTGTTATTATACATAAAACGACGTAAGTTTGCATAAGTATAGCTTAAGGCCATTGGATCATTTAGCATAAAGATATCATATTAATTTATATATTATAAGGTGCTAGCCCAGCGGTCTTATGCAATGCTTATATATAGCTCATATGTCATTTTATGTGATTGTTCTAATAAGTATATGTAAATAAGATTACATAACTATAATATAACTCATTATATAACATTGGAATTATTTATATTATAGCACATAACATTTCAGCATTTTATGTAACTATTCTGTATCTTTTCTGTAATTAATGCAACAGTTATATAACGTTTATTACATTGTTATTATACGTTTATTGTATATAACTGTAATTTGCAATCAGTGGGAAATTACAATTAACATGTATGTTACATGTAATCAATATGTTACATTCCATTTTATTACAGCAATATAACAGTTATATAACTGCGTTTACTAAAAAGGAGCGAGCAAAATAAAAATTAAGAACAAGAATAAAAATAAAAAATTGAGAATCAAAAAAAGAACCGAAAGAAAAAGGTAAAATTTTACCAATTCGGTTATGATTTTAGTATTGTAAATTTTACTAAATTTGGGTATATTATAATTTCGATTTCAGTTCACTGAAAAAAAGAGTTTCAAAACGGTTTTCGGTTTCGATTTCGGTTTGGTCCGGATACGAAGTATTGATTTTGTTATCTGCAATCTTGAAAAGTGAATGTGTGTACTCTTAGAAAATTGGATCTTGCTATATAACAAGATTTACATCCACTTTCTTAGAGGGCAACAGTGCGCAGCAGCATTTAAAGTCACTAAATTATAAAGTACCGCAATTGATTTCAGAAATGTCGCATAAAAATGGTCGAAGTGCACATAGTACACGATTTGAAGTACACATTGAGTCAATTGGATGCAGTTAACCTAACTTAATCGTACATTTTCGAAACATTTTCAAGCATCAATCTCGAGATTGAAGGCGTAAATTCATCATCATTGTATTGATATTAACACAATAAAAATCTCTTCAAGATTTCTTTTCCAGTCTATCATCAGTATCGTGTTGTTAAAGTTAATAATACCAAGTTGTTGTGTATCTAAGTGCAAAAATAGTACTGTAAAAGATTACAGATTATTTGGCATGCCAAAAGATGAACGAAGAAGAATGAGCCGAATTAATAGGAAGAATTGAATTATTAGAAAGGGCTGATATTTGTGAAATATGACAAAAGTTAAGCAAAATCGCTGATTGTAGATCCACGATTGTAGTCAGCCACTTTTAAAAAATAATCCGGACCAAGGACCACGTTTGCCTCGGCCGAATAATCTTTTAAAAATGCTCAAGCTCATGCGATCACACGTGTGATGTGTATTTTTGTATTCCTCAACAGTTCTGAACTATATTTACACGTATCCTTTGTGCACTTTTATGCACAAAATTTCTACGATAAATAAATCCGTATTAAACTAAAGAACACATAAATTGATTGACATTCGTACATATTCTTTTGTTCATAAATAAACTAATTACAATTAAAAAAACATTAATTTACATACTTGACAGTTTCATTTTCCCAAATAAAGCACGTAATACAAATGCATAAATTCGAAATGACTGCATTTCGTGTGAAAATGGATGCAAGTTTGCAGTACTTTATAGATCTAGTGACTTTAACAGCATTTTGCGGTTACAGGTTTTGAGCCGTCATGTTCTCTCAGGTTTTTCTCTCTGCTTGAAATAAGAATGGACTGTGAATACTGCTCATTATTATCTCGATTCTCGGAGTACATTTTTTTTCTTGTGAAATCGTATTTTTACGCGAAAACGCATCGAATGAGTATATTTTTATCAAAATTTGAGATGGAGATGGATATATTTTCTCAATTATACATTTAAATGCCTTTATTAAATATTGTATATAATGTACTTCATCAATTTCTATTTGATAACATTTGTTTTAGCGTTTGTAGACTCAGACATTATAATAGTAAATGCCTTTGGCATTGCAAATCGGAGGCATTCGTTTGCTCTTTTATCTTGAAAATCGTTCGGCAACTCACATCTTTCTGCTACATGTCGTCTCATCTGCATTCGAGATTAACATTTCTAGAGTCAATCGAGTTGTTTGATCCATTCCGGATTCAAAGACTTACAGAGCTAATACAGATTTTTGCGTTTAAATTAAATTTATATGTATAATTTATGTATATTTATGATATTTGTATATTTATGTATACAAGATGTATATTTATGATATAGATGTATATTTATGATAATACATCCAACTGATTTGTTAACACATACATTCATTTCTTTTAATATTTATATTTTATAAATAGTATATTTGAACTGTTATAATGTCTGAGTATACAAACGCTAAAACAAATGCTCAAATGCTATCAAATAGAAATTGATGGAGTACATTATATACAATATTTAACGAGGAAAGTAAGTTTTCTTTTCCTCTTTATGAATTTGAAATTACGTATTTGAAAACAAAGAATTTAGTTAATTTTTAGATCAAAACTTATGTTGCACATATAGAATGAAATAAAATCAAACTGAATTAATATTAAAGATTCTATAATATATTAAAGAACAAATATAAATCAAATGACTTATAATTTTAAATTGCTGAAATTTATTTTCAATGTAATATTTTCTTTTAAGAAAACACACCTTGCGTATGAATGTAGCGTCTGCTACATTCATGTGTATATGATCTATTTTTAGTATAATTTTTAATATATAATTTATTTAGTATATTAATTTTTAGTATATAAGATTATTATCAGTTTTTAGTAAAGCGAAAGATATTTTCAATTAATAGAGTATTTCTATTTATTTCATAAAATTAAACAATTTCATTTTATAATCTAATCTTAAAGGACAGCTCTGTATCGTTCGGAATTAATTCTTGGCACCGGATTGCTCGAAGATCACGTGATCAAGCTCGTCATCTGCTAGCTCGCATCTCAGATTTACATTGTTGAACGTTCCTTTTACCTCTATTGACTTAAATTTTGATTCCACGCCGAAATACATTAGCACGATTTCTTGTTGAGATTCGCTTGAATTTTACAATATGCAGGTAAGTGATCAAACATGCAATTATTTTCACAATAACGATATCAATTTTGAATATAGACATAAAAGTATACGTACATATGTATGTACTCGATTTATAATAATTCTTTACAAAAATTTACACAGCTTGGAAGATATGTCCTTGACATATGTTATTAATGATCCTGAGTAACTTTGCCTTAACAATTATGTGGTTATCTCTTATAATTGTGCTGATATTTTGAGTTAAAATGTAATTTTGGTAAATTTTATAGAATAAATTTGGATAATTATACAGTTTACCATTAAACACCTTAAAAATCAATAGTTAGACTTATTTGACGCTTTTTTTTTGCATGAAATGAAAGAATCTGGTAAAAAAAAGAGTCGCTTTGCCCCATGAACCAAGATATTAAGGTTGATTATAGGGTTAGGAAATCTGTCACTGCCACAAAATACTGCAAATACGATGCAAGCATGCATTGTATTATATAATATGATTGTACATGGGTTTCGACTTTCCATGCGACTTCCATTTCCCTGCTTAAGGGACGCACGACTTTTATAATTGTATTGTTGCACATAGGTTTTGAGTTTTCATAAAAATCGAAATCCATGTGCAACAATACAATTATAGACCTAGTTAAGAGTATAGAATTCGCCTCTATGACAGATTTCCTAACTTTAAATATTCATCAACTTTAGTGCTTAATATCTCGGTTCGCGGGGCAGAGCCACGCTTATTTCTGTCAGATTCTTTCGTTTTTTAAAAAGATGCAAATAAGCTGAATTTTATTGATTTTTGCTCAGTAGTAAACTGTATAATTATCTGACTTTGATTTTGATCTTGACATATATTGTCGGAAAGTTCGTGTGAAGGAAAATTGAAACGCAGAAGATTTAAATTTTAGTATACATTTATTAAATTATATAGGTTAATCGGCATGAACTTTCCGGACAATATTTTATATATTGAGATTATTAAGGTTCTTTAATAAATCGAGTTACCATAGAAATGTCTAATTTTTTTATATAATTAGGTTGAAGTAAGTAATTGACATGTGCAAATTTCTACTGTAGTTTAACGATGAAATAAAAAAAATGTTGAAAATGTAACTTTTCACATATTTAGTGACATAAGATTCGCAGATGCTTCTTTGCACACAAATTTTACCATAGACTTTTTTCAAAAACGAGATCACAATAGTTAAAGAATTACGATTTTAATGGCCACAAAAAAATAATAGGTCAACGGCCATTCTGGAAAGATATGTACGTGCATAAATTTGCATTATAAATTTAATTTCGAAAAGTAATTTTATTTTTGTTCGAAGCTTGATTTACTATTGTGTGTTTCTATCCTATTTCATTATTGAAAATATACATGTAGTTTTAATATTATCCAAATTATACAGATATTTGTAATTTTGGGCCCTTATGAAGCATCTTCAATTTTCGGCATTTTACTAAAGAAAAAAATCACTTTAAATCTTTGTCTTACTAAATAAATGAGTCTGCAATATACTAAAAATAATAGATATTAAGAAATAATAGATATTAAAAAGATTAGACAGAACTTAGATTAGAATCTCTTAAAAAACATAAATTTTCTTATTCTATAATATAATTTAAACTATAGCAGAGGATAGATTGTGATTGAACATTTATACCTATCTATTTCATACCTTACATAAGGATCTAATTAATCTTTTTGGTTTCTTTCATTTTTAATATATTGTAGATTCATTCATTTAATAATGCAAATGTTTAATTTATAAAATTTAATGCATGGGTATGTAACTACACTCTACATGCTTCTATTGAAAAAAATGTCACAAAATTATATAATGAGAAATCATGTAATTAAGATAAGTAAATCACAGATTGTTCCAAATCAATACGTTATTTTTTTAAAATTACAATTTGAAAAATCACAATATTAAAAATAATTTCATCTATTATGTGATTTCATAGTTATCGAATTTAAAAAAAATTGAATGATAGAAATAGAAGAAAAAATATATTATGTGATTTTTCAAATTATGTAATTAAAAAAAAAATCACGTACGATTTGAAACAATTTGTTAATTTACTTGTTTTTAATTACATAACGTGTCATTGTAAACTTTATAACATGATTTTTTTTCAATAGGGATTTTACATTGGTCTACAACTTTCACATAAATCGAAAATTAATTAAATATCTCAGAACCTATGACAAACTGTTACTTAATTGTTAAAGCAAAGTTGCTCGAGATCATTTGGACAACATATGTCAAAAGCTTGGAGTCGTCTGAGTTCGTTCTCCATTAAAATCCTTTACTGAAATTACACACTTTAACTGTAAATTTTTCAAAAATTAAATAATAAGAGATCACTACTTAATTGTTAAAACAAAGTTATTCTGGATCATGACTTTGACAACATATATTAAAATGGTCATCTGAGCTTGTATAAGCTTTGTGTAAATTTTTATAAAGAATTATCCTCAATTTTATGATACAATTGAGAATAAACATTTTTTTTTGGATTTCATCGATATGTATATTTTTATATTATTTTTAACGTTTGATATTGTTTTCTTTTTTTATTATTGAATTTTATTTAATCAAATTTTCATACAAATAATTATTTCGATAATTATTTAGGAACAAAATATCCCAATCGACATTAATGCTCGAAAGTTATTGGATTGGCTGATTAATCGGAGGCACTGCAAGAAGAATTGGCACATGAATATTTTGCCCATTAGACAGAAAATTAATAATGCGATACAAAATATGCCTGCTCATGATGGCATTGCCTCATTATTGTCCGGTGTCTGTAAGCTATGAATCATTATAACTCCATCTCATGATTTTACAAATATATAGTTGCAGACTTCTGATTATTATGTTTTTTTTATTTTGTCTTTTTTAGATATAAATTATTTTTCCTGTGTAAAAATTGTGAAAATTTTGAAGGAAACGGAAGCCGATACAAAAAATTTATTCGGGCATTATGGCTCACAAAGGATGAAAGATTGGCAGGAGATTTTGAGATTGTACGAAAAAGAAAACATATACCTTGCCGAAGTCGCGCAAATGCTTATGAGAAATGTTAATTATGAGGTTCCGAGTATTAAAAAGCAGATACAGAAGTTAGAACAATTGTTAGCTGTAAATTGATTTATATATTGTGTAATGTTATCTTTACTTATTAGCATATAATAAATGTATATAAAACTGTATTGTCAGGAATTGGAAAAGAAAGAATCAGAATATAAAAAATCGGAAAATATTGCACATATGGAATACAACATGATGTGCAAACAATTAGGTGTAACTGGTTATAATACGGTTAGACGAGAGTTATTAGATAAGGTGAAAGAATTGCCAGAAATTTATCAAAAAATAGCGGAGAAAACAAAGTGCTTGGACAAGGTTGTAGAGTTTTATAATGCATTTGTTGAATTCACTTTTGACCAGCAATATGATAGTGATTGTGTATCGATGATTAAATATGTTATTGGTATGTGTGCATAATAATTTCAAGAATTTATTATTATACTCAAATAAGAAGTACGTATGATATTGGATTGTCCGGAAAGTTCGTGCCGATGTTGAAGAAAAATTGAAACGCAGAAAATTTAAATTTTAGTATACATTTATTAATATAGGTTAATCGGCACGAACTTTCCGGATAACCCAATATATGTATAAGTGGCTCTTATTTTCGACTTTCGAATTTTTCTTTGCGGCACCCTCCAAAACGATTCCAATTCAAGAAAAAAAAAAATTGCATAAAACTGCAGTCCGATCGGATAAGAGAAGACGTGCCCTCGAGCCCCTAAACTTTATGATAAAGCAAAAAAATCAATTTCCGTGAATATCTTCTAAATTTCTGAATATATCAAAAAAAGTTATCAAATAAAAACTGTAAATATAAGGAACATCTTTTATATTCATTTTTTTTTTCAAATAAATGATTTTTGAAAAAATTCCAAAAAAATAGGAAATATTAGGTTACCCGGAAAGTTCGTGCCGATTTTAAAAGAAAATTGAAACGCAGAAGGTTTAAATTTTAGTATATTAGATGTGGGAAAAAGTTTGTGGCGTTTTTTTAATGCTATCTAATGGAAAAAACGAACTTTTTCCCATATCTAATACATTTATTAAATTTAAATCTTTTGCGGCACGAACTTTCCGGACAACCCAATAGAATAAAAATTGGATAATACAAGTAATTTTCGACTAAATTAATTTCAATTTTAACTCTGATCGCATGCTTCTTATGAATTAATTTGATTCATTATTTCAACTACTAGTTTATATCCTTGTTAAACATGGGTTATATCCTTGTTAAATATTCGCATTTGAGAATGTTTGAGAATGTGCTGATACATTTTTATTGAATGACTCAACATGTTTAAATAATTTTATCATCATTATGGACTAATTTTAACCGATATAATGAAAGAATGTAACATATTACAAGACTGAATTACATTATTGTGACAGAAGATAGATACTATCAACTTTGCGTAACCATAATCCGTAAAAATTGTATCTAATCATTTTAATTTTGTTAAATTTGCGTTCTCTACAGGTATACACTGAGGATAACCTAATAATCGAAACATATGTTCTAAAAATTTGAATAAAAATCTAACTTATAGCTCCTTCTTATTATTTATTATTTAGAATAAAAATTGTTAGTGATCTTAAAGGGGTCTCATACTTTGGGAAACCAAAAAGATGATTTTTCATAATTTTTTTTTAAAGGAAGACTAATATTTATCATTTTAAAACTTCTTACATGTTTTAATATAATTACGGTAGAGTATAAAAAAGTATAATTGTAAAAGTAAAAGTTTATATTTTTATTATAAATAATAAAAATATAAACATTTAGTTTGGCACCTTGCCACTTGAAAAAAAGTTATGATTACTAGGTTTACACTAAGTAGCAGCCGTTTCTTTATACAAAAAAAATTGTTAATGTTGATTTTTATTTAAGGGAATATTTTGATGTAACATGCTGAAAATAATGCGATTTTGGGGAATTTTTTTTAAAGAGATGATTCAATGAAACTTTATGAAACTTTAGGACTAATTTTAAAGTATATTTGTACATATAAAAAATTATTTTTTCATTATGAAATAATGTATATGTATATGTTTGTAAATATTAAAAAATCTCGGATCTTGCGGCGTCGGACAGTGCAATCAGTATACAGGATAGCGCCTGTTGTACATGAAGCAGAAATTCATTTTTCATTCAGAATTTCATTCAGAAATTCATTCAAATGCATTTTAGTTTTATAATAATATTCCGCTCCAGATCAATCTACTTGCGAAACAAAAATGCTAAATTTACAAAATGGCAAGCCCTAGAAAAAAAAGTTGCGATTTTCACAAAAAATTCTCATATTAATTGTGCGGTAATAATTATTATTTTAATAATATCATCAAACTAATAAATTGATCTAAAATAGGTTGATCTAGAGAAATTTAGTTATCTATATGCACAGAGGAAGAAATCAATTAGTTGAATATTTTTTGAATTATACTACACGCCAATTCTAAAAACATGGTTTAAAGAAAAACGTGTTTGAGTATGGAAAAATACTTGTTTTCAAACTTATAGCTAATACTTATAGCTAATTTGCCAGGCCCA